TAGGTTGGCTAACTTAAGACGAGATTTTATATATAATTCATAGACGATTCCTATTCGTACTCTAGTGTATGAAACACGGGTATATATGCAACTTATTTTATTATGATAATTAAACAGCCTTTGAGGCTCCAACAAAAAAAGACCTCCGTAAAATTTTAATATAAACTATACCTAGGGTTGTATTACACAAAATTACATTTTTCATTACGTAACTTACGAAACTGTAATGTAACTTTACAATATATAGCGCATTGTCACATGATAATTGCACTAGCATTACAAAAGTTTTGCCAGCATTAATAGATATCCATCATCGTGTTCGAAACTTTAATTTTATATTTATTTTTATATTAGCTTTACAAAAATTTTGGCCCAAATTATTCACATGATCAAAATTACATGTAACTTTGATTTCAGAAACTTACGTAAAATTACATAATTTCCAACCCTAACTATATCCTAACTCAAACCTTAAACCCTAACCTTAATCTAACATTAATCAAATTAAATTTTGTTTCTTGTGTTACATGGATTTACAAATTATACCCGTGTTTCATCATACACTAGGTATGTTAAGAAATTTTCTAACTCATATAATTAAATAAAAAATTAACGAACTATATATGTATACAATTGCGAGTATGACTATAGTGGAACAACTGCATTAATTTATTTAAAAATTTTCGAATAGCTTTAAACTATAATTGATTGTTTGCTTTAATTTATTCTAGTTATACCCGTGTTTCATAAACTGACCTAAAGTTACCAACCTAAAAAAAATTTGCTAAAAAATTTCGCGCTAATAAGTTAGTTTAGAAAGAGCTTTAATAGTACCAACATTTCGCAAGGAAAATTTTTTGTTAGTGCGCAGAAGGTGGTTTCATAGATATTAAATGCAATAGCCAATCAGATTTTAGACAGTCGCCAGTTTCACCAGAACAATTTAGTTTCACCAGCAACTCTAGTACGTACGTACGTACCAGTATAGACACACGTGCGGACATATATGAAAATTTCAAAATTACATGTTTGATGCATCAATATTAAGCCAATCAAATAATGAATCAAAATATATATGCATCAAAAAAGTAATTTTTATACTACTTTACATATAATTAGCACTAATTCGAATTAAGACAATTTTCTTTCCCTTTTTGAACATTAATTAGGGGTATCAGAATTAATGGTTTGGCATCCGTTTCAGACAAGATAAGTGATGTATCTACGTCAAAGTATGTGATCCATAAATTCTATAAACTTATCTACTTAATCGTTTACCAGTAGATATTTATCAAAACAAGGCTAGTTTTTTTAACGTGTTCGTCTATTTAATTCGCTAAGTCAGAATTTTAAAAGTAGTATCTTTTAAACTTCCAATTATTTTAAAAATCAGTTAATTATGAAACCCACTATTACATAAAGCTATATAGTTACTATAAATTTTAATAGGACTGTATTGCTATTAAAGTTACTGCATTAAGATATCTAAGTTTCTTTATACTTGAGCATAACAAATTCAGAGCATGAAATTATTATTGCCTAACATCTTTTTTATAAATAAGTAAAAACTTTTACGTATTTATCTAAGTGTAAATTGCAACAACTTAGTGAATAAACGTATTATGATTTGTATGACAAATATATTGACACCCTTTATTCTCTATTACTTATTTTTTCATTAAAGCAACAAAATGAATCGTAAAACATTACTTCTTATCGCAATAGCTCTTTCGAGTCATACACTTCTTTTTCTCTTTCTAGTAAACTTGAGCGCTCCAGTTATAGCTTCAATCGCCATAATAACTCTCTCATCAGATTATTCTTACTCTAATTTCTTAGATAATGCTAGTTCCCATAGTCAATATGGGTACGGATTATATGGCGCTTGTCTTACAACTTCATCTACATTTTTAGCTTCAACCTTGGACGCATCCTCATCTACAACTAGATGCATTTCTTATTCGGATGCTAGCACTAGTTTTACCGGAGTCAACACGAGTTTGTATGGTGGCGTGCAATTTCTTGAAGCTTTGCATACAATTGGTAACATTTATTTTTAAATAATTATGTGAAAATACAGGATTTGTATACCTAGATCATACACTTGAACAGTCAATTTTGTACAAGAAGGCAGTCAAATTCGTACGTACAATCTGATATTCATATCCGTACATTTGGACAGTTATATTATGCTCCGGTTAAATCATGATATCTCATAATCTAATAATCATAATCCCATAATTTTGGTGCCATTAGATTCATTTTATAGAGATGAACCAAAATCATAGAATTATGATTACTAGATCATGAGATATCATGATTTGATCAAGTGTTGCTGGTGAAACTAAATCATATTGGCGAAAACTGGTGGCTATCTTCTTGGCCATTGCTTTTAATAGTCAATTAGATTTTAGATACCAATTTTTCTGGCACGATTTAGTTTCACCAGCAACCAATTTATCATAGTATTAATTTGTGCAAATTTGACTGTTAGCTTGTGCGAATTTACTGTTTACTTGTGCAAAATTGAATATTCAAGTGTAGAAACTAAGTATACAACATCTGCAATACAATTATCAATAAAATAATCATTATTTCGTTTATTTTATTTTAGCCTTAATAGTTTCGTTCGCGTTGGCTATAATTAGTTTTCTTCTTTGGCAAAAAAGCAATAATACAAATCACGCTCTATGGACTTCGGCTACTTGTTTTTTACTCGTTTTTGCTTCAATGATAGGAGAGATTGTTTTTTACGCAGTTCTTCAAAAAGATCTAGACAATGCAATTTCTAGTTCAAGTTCATCGAGTTCATCTAGTTCAAGTTCATCGAGTTCATCTAGTTCATCGAGTTCATCTAGTTCATCGAGCTCATCGAGTTCATCACCAAATGCATCCTTAACTTTAGGTGCTGGATTTGCTTTGACTGTTTTATCGTTTATATGCACAATAGCAATAGTTTTTATATATTGGAAAACTAATTCAATGCCTCAAGAAGAAGATCAGAAACAGTTCTATGATACAACTTCATATAATTGTGTTGTGGAAACGCCTTAATAACCACTGCAGTACTCAAATCAAATATCAAATACGTAATTATTCGTTAATAATACTGCTACACTTATCAACCCCACAGTTTTCAACTCATAAACTATCGAAGTTTTCGAACCCTATCAATAACATAAACCAACCATTTCAGGTTGTGGACATTGTTATAAATTCTCACCAACCTCTAATTTAGTCTGTAGATTCATGGCATGGATAGTATTATTACTGTATTATTGTTTAACCTTAACGGAATTGATTTTTGTAATGACGTAATTTATATATATTTTTTGTTTTTTGTGAATCTAGAGAACAATTTATTTTCAGACAATAGATAATGTGATACTAAACCACTTGATGTGATATGGATTGAATATATACATAAATTTTATAATATTGATTATTATATTTTTTTATTTATATATCAGTCATATTATATGCTATACATAAATTTTTACATATCGAAAAATATATAAAATTGCTTATAAAGTTAAAGCTTTGATGTTTTTTGTCTTAAAATTAAATTTAATATGTGAATCTATCAAAAAAGGTCAGTAAAAAACAATTTAAAATTTTGCAATCTTTGCACAATTTGAGAATATAACTTTGTCAAAAGAAAAGATCTATTAGTCTTAAAATAATTATTAGATGTAGTATTATATCCTGAACAAATTTATTTAGAGGGTAAAATAGTAAAAAAATAAAATTGCTATATGCTAATATTAAAAATTTTAGTTTATCTATATAAACTTTGTTAACAACTAAGTCATGTTCTTACCTAAGTAAACTTATTTATATATAATTCTACATATTGATTATTTTATTTTTTAAAATTTTTACTAAGTAAAAATTGAATTAAAAAAATTTTTTTGTATAATAAAAGTTTAAAAAAGCTACATTTACTGATGTTGTCGCATCAGGTGTAACGTGAAATCAAAACAATCTTTTTCTTTCATTAGTTAGGGTTAGATCAGTGTTGGGAATATTACTATGTCCAATTGTTTTCAAAGTTAATTGGACATATGTCCAAAACTAAATGTGGCGCAGTTTTTGTCCAATTTCCAATACTGGGTTAGGGTGAGGTTAGGATAATATATGGGCAAAGAGAGATTTTATAGTAAATTTTACAAGGAATTTTTTTTTGTTAGAGCCCGAAGGTATCTTTATATGTAAAATTTTGCAATTTTTGGCAAGACGAACGTTTGTTTTGAATTTTCTAGAATTTGTAACATTACACCCGATCTTGAAATTCGATTGATCGAATGTGTAATAGCGACATATAAGACACATCGCATACAATTATTATTTTAAAACTAATAAATCTTTTTTTAACAGAGTTTTATTTTCAATTTTACACATATGATGCTTTTGAACTAGGATTTGTAAAAGATTACAGACTACAAGTATAAAAGCATAGTGCTTATTGAAGAGTTTAGGTACAGCAACCTCAGAGAAGGCTGACATTGCAATTATAGTTACCCAAAAAACACTGTCATGGTTCATTTCAAAAAGTGCACGAAAACAATTATGAACTTCACTTTGTTTTCAACTTATAATATCAGCTGGCACAGCATTTTTCTTTAACAGTAATAATCATTCGCATCTGAATACATGAAATACTGCTGCCCTTATATTTTGAACTAATACACCTTGAAGGTTCTTCATTTTTTGCAACAACTATTGCCAAAAATAATAAAAATCAAAAGCAAAAGAAGTATAAATATTAAAAAAAATAAATCAAAAAAAATAATAAAAAATGTTTACTATCAATATATATAAGGCTGAACCATTCTTTATAAAACCTATTAATATATTGGTTAAAACTTAGATTATGCATAAATTCAGGGAATTTTTCTTCAAAACATTATTAAAGAGTATTCTTCAAATCAGTTTGGTCAGCTGCTTAACCATGCAGGTAAACACATTCTATAATATATATATTTTTTACGTTTTAGCACAACCCAATATGCTATATACTACTAAAATCTAAATTTATATAGTAGATTTGTTGCAAAGATAAAAAAATAAAAACACTTATATCTATTACTAGTATAAAAAAATCATTCTTTCATTCGCCATATTATCTTTTCAATTACTTTATCATGGCCTTATTTTATTTGAACTTTTATCAAGCCTTTTAAGTATCAAGTATAACTGCTTTAGTTAAGCAAATATTCTTTTATCAACTTGCTAATAGTAATTGTGATAATAGTTTGCTTAATTATATATATTAAAAAAAATGTAAACAAAAAAAAAGAATTTGAAAATTGTCAAAAAAAAGCCTTATATATATACAAGATTGCTTATAAATATGAATTTGATTTGCTGATTTTCTATTGCTATCATATGATAGAGATATATTTCATGATCATTGTTTTGAAGAATGTTGTTAAGATAAGAATAATGATCAATTATAATCACTATAATGAGATGTAGGGTAAGATCTAGATTCATAACAAGATCTAGATTCATAGCAAAAATTAGAGGATTTAGTTTCATTTTAAGAAGTAGAGAAAGGCTAGTGAGATATGGATTTATGGCAAGAGCAGGTAGAGGATAGTTAGCATAATTAATATTTAATACTCATATTTGAAAATATTTATTAAATACTTCTAATACTTCTAGAAATTGAATTAGAAGAAAACTATCATTATTAAGATTGAGTAGTTGATGAGATGAGATTTAGCAATATCATTTATTATTAAGGTTTAAAAGTCAGAAAATATTAGATTGAAAATGAGTAACAGATTTTGTGAGATATAGTAATATATTATTTCTAGTTGTGTTTTCTATTATCAAAATTCATTTATAAAAAATTTTTATTATTACCTTTTGTGTTAAGCCTGTATATTTATATTTAATAAAACTATTGTATAAGAAGAAAACAAATTAATATTTAATAATATTAACCACTTATAATAAAAAAAGATATAATAAAACAAGAATACTTATTTATATAAAATTTATTTATATTATTAAATTTAAAGTATAATAATACAGAAATATTTATTTATATAAAAATTTATACATGTTATTAAATATAAAATATCTGAGATTTAAAAATTTTAGAAAATTAATTACTGATATTGTGATTTTATTCTTTCTGCTAATAGTTGAAGTTGGAACTGCTTTTAGAACTAAGATCGAACTAGTCAGACTGTATTAGATCTATCTTTATTTATAGTATATAGTTTAAATAAATTATACTATACAAATTATGCTTGCTATAATATCAATATATTAAACTATAAATATTTTATATGCATTATTATTTTTAATAAGATATTTATGAAGGCTGATCCAAACTGGTATCAAGAAACTATAAGTTCAGTTAAAAAGACCAGTTTTTTTAAGTTCGATTTATTCTTAGTATTAAATATAAACTTTATATATTATTTATACTATAATTTATTGCTATTACTTCTATATTATAATTAAATACTTAATTACTAGTATAATTATAAATTGCTTTGATTTAGTTATAATTAATAATTATAATAAAAGAAACTCTTAATGATATTTTATTTCTGTAAAATATCTATAACTTTAATATTTAAACAAAAATAACAGGTTGTACTATGATTGCTAATAATATTACTTGCAATTTATAGAGGTCTATTTATCAATCTTTATTGATCATATTTAAAGTTTAAGTTTTTAATATAATACAAATAATTTACTAGTTTAAATAGATTATATAATACGTGGAGGACCAAGATAATAATAGTTAAACCAAACGTATATAGAGACTATAGAATCTTTTGCAGCTGTGAGAACTGAGCTTAAAATGGCAAGCGACCCTTCAGGAGAACTTCCATCCAAGTCATCACCAATATCATTAGACTCTATGACTTGAAAATATGCTATAACAAATTCCTTGCCTATTACAAACTTCCTCTACTAATAGAACCACAAACTATCAACTTCTTTAAACAAGCATCTTACACAAAACAATGCTAAGCATCTTTGCATATTATATCTTAATTACTGTTAATAGTGACAAAACAGAAGCATACGTATATTTATCTCATGAATCTGAAATGCTTTCTAATCACTATGTTCTATCTATATATAACTCTTACAATATCACTTTAAAATCACAAACAAATACACCTATTTTCCTCTCTACATCTCCTACTTCCTCCAGAACAACCTCCAATTTAAATCAATCTACTAACAATCATCTAAACAACTCTGGATCTGGATCTAACCAAGCACTCAACCTATCTATCT